TATCAAAATCCTTTCTTAGGGGGTCATAGTAATTTTAAGCATGCAAAGTCTCAGTCCGATCGGTTTAAAATTGACAAAGTTTCATACAAACTATCATCCCCCATTTTATCCCCTTGGGGATAGAATTAATCAAAATCCTTTCTTAGGGGATGCCTACGTCATAACATCTACCTGCATGCCAAATTTCAGCCCGATCCATCCAGTGGTTTGGGCTGTTCGTTGATAGATCACTATGTCAGTCACCTTTGAGTTAGATATATTTAGATTGTTGTGACTTATAGTACCTATTAGCTATCATAGGGACATGTAAAATTTTTTAAGTACGAATTTATTGTTAATCCCGCCTATATGTAAAAAATATTGACTTTTTTATTGATTAGTAATCGTTACTTTGAGTCCACTAATATGCCCACCAGAATACGTATTGAAGGTTCAATGCAATTCATTTTTATTCTATATACCTTCAGAGTCATTTGTTCCTAGGACAAATAGTGTTTTATTTATATGTAAAATAATAAATAAATATTAACGATATAACTTTTTACAATGGCTGTACTCGTATTTTGATAGTATTAGCTCCTCGTCCCGGCTTCCCATGTATGTATATACCTGATTTATACTTTTAAACTTCCTCTTGAATTTCTCTATGTATTTGTAAAAACTGCATTAAAATCCGTTGCGTAGTTTAAAAGATCTGAAGACAGCGGGAGCGCATTCATTTTGTACTATGTAAAGTTTAGCTGCTTTTACACGACATGCTTTTTCATGCGCAATTTTTGGGGGGTAGATGCGCGCGCGCAGATGTGAGTGCTAGTTTTGTCTTCACTCTTTCACGCACGATTGCCCGTGTCGCATGTACAGTGCGTTTGCATGTTAGTGGGCTTTAGTTTCTATAGCAGTCGAGGATTGTATTCCATGATGCACATTATAAAAATGTTCGAACTTAAAAGTTGTTTGTATTGGTCTGGGTAATTTCTGTATATATTACGCAAGTATTTAGATTTTTTTCTATCTATCAGTTGTTTGATACCTATAATCTTTAAATATATTTTAGTTTGGGACTAGATGTCGTTGGGTAAATTGTATCGTTAGTTATTATACGAGTGTATTATATATTATTATTAATTAGACTAGATTGATCCATAGTTAAAAGTACTTTCGTTTTCTGTAATTACTATTTATTGTAAAAACGTGTAAAAGATTATCATTATTGAGTGATTTTTCGTATCTATACATATTTGTAGTTTTCATTTGTATAATTCCTTTAATTTTTTTTATTCATTGAATTACGGTTTTATTTTTCAAAGACATGTTTAATATTGATTAATTTCCAATAAAACCGTAATTAAGTATTTGCTCTTTATTCAGATGTCCATCATTTTGGAGTGTGGATTAATTGTAACCAAAATGCTCGAAAGAACGTTATATATCTTGCGCGTGCGACTGGCGTGTGTGCACGTTTCTTGTTATATTTATCTACTTTTATAGTAATGCTCTGTTTTTCAGCGTGAAAGGCACTTGTAAAGCCAGATTGTAACAAGTTTATACTTCGTGCTTTCGTTCCTTTGATACGTTGTCAATTAGTTAATTCGTTCATGTGATCGTTTAAGACCTTATTGATCTCTTCATCGATAATTCATTCATTTCTTTAATTCTTAGTTCATTATATTGATTGTTCGTTTAACTATATCGTTTTGTTTATTTATTGTTTAGTATTCGTTCAGTAGGTCATTCGTTTTTCGTTAAGTTCTTAATTTGCTCCCTTTTCCTATAATTCTTTTATTTAGTGTATTCGTTCGCTTCATATTTTGATGGTTCAAAATTCATTCGAAACTTCTTCGAAAACGTATGCTCGAATGATTTGTCCTTATGGCTTACAAAAATATTATTGTAGAGTAAAGTTTAGACCAATTAGTCTCCGAAAATAGTCAACGATTTCTAAGACTTTATACTACAACTAATATCTGTCTTGTATCACGAAAATTTCATTTTTCATATTTGCTTTAAGTAAAATTGACTTTAAACTCAAACTCAACAAAGTCTGCGTTTGTTTAAATTTATATCAACTTAATAGGACAGTTTACTTCAACGAGGACGGGACGAAGATACTCGTAAATATTAATGACGAATTAGCATCGATCTCTAGGTAAGTTTAGTAATTAACAGCCATGTACATGAATGATGAGGTTTTAATCGGGGACGCTCGAGACTTTGTATAAATTATGAATACTTAAGCGTCTGAAATAATCCAACATCTATAAGGTAAATGATCTCATTAAGTTTTATTATTCAGGCAATTAAAGATCTCTTGTACTCAAGTTTTAAGATTTCAAGGGAATGCGGACTATACTGGGTATGATTTCTATTAATCTTCTTATTTCATTTGTATCTGTTGTTAATATATATTTATAGTAAGCTAGTTAGTGCTTGCTACTTCGTCCGTGTGCCCCGGTATACGAAATTGCTTATATCCTTAGTTTAAAGATGCCGTATTGCGGCGTAAAAAATAATATAGGTATATGATTTATGATTATTGCTTAAACTGTTGAGGCGTGAAAACGTCACAAACAAAGTCATTTTTATATTAGTCACGACATATAAGAGTTTTGTTCCTTTGTTACTTAATTCGCTCGTTTATTCATTCGAATGCTCGCTCATGTGTTTTTTTGTTTGTTCATTCGCTCTCTCGTTTTTTGTCCATTCTCTCTTTCATTTATTTACGCGAACGAACGAACGAGATTCGTTCGTTCGTTCAAGCGCTCGCTTGTTCGTTCGTTCGTTCAAGCGCTCGCTTGATTATTAGTTCGTTCAACGGAGCAAACGTTAGTCCATTCGTCCGCTAGTTCGTTTGTGTGTTTGTTAATTCATTCGCTCGTTCGTTTGTTTATTTGTTTATTCGCAAGTACGTTCGGTCATAAGTTTACTAGCTTGCTCCTCAATTCGCACGTTCGGTCATTCGCTTGATCGTTCATTCGTTCGCTCATTAATTCGCTTGCTCGTTCATTCGCTCGCCTGTTCATTCGCTTGCTCGTTTATTCGCTTGCTCGGCAATTCGCTTGTTCGTTCATTCGCTAGCTTGTTCATTCGCACGCTCGTTCTTTCACACGCTCGTTCCTTCGCTCGCTCATTCATTCTCTCGCTCGTTTGTTCGTTTATGTGACCATATCGGTAAAACTGTTAAGGCACAAAACCGTAACAGTCAAATAAACTCATTGTCACATTTAAAATATTAATCAGGACTTATGAGGTATAAGGTCTTCTTATTTCGGGGATAGATCGTTCACTTCATATATAAGGATGTATTTAGGATGCCAACTTAAACATCGTGATATTTGCAAAGAGAAATTCTTGTATTACTTAAGATAAATTTTATTGCCTAAAATTAGTACGATGTCTTCAACGCGTATGATGTAGAAACATGAATGGTAAATGTATGAATAAAAATGCTTATGAACGATATGGATGCGAACATCAAAATTCACGGTTTCAAAGAATCAAAGGTGCTTGATTGACTTGCACCCAAATGTATAATAATAATAATATTCTATACTAAATACAGAGTTTCTAGTCAGTTCTTCTCATCTCGAAATCATTTCCAACTAACGGTAGATTTGACATATCATAAGAGTCTGTAATAGACCTACATGAATAAATATGTTTTAAATTTGAATTTGAACATTGCTACACTCAACTTCAGTCTCGAGAATATGAAAAAATTAAGAAAATATCGGGGAAAGTGAAAAAAATTGTCTAACTTCTAATACCCATTTCTAATCGGAATATTATACAATTTTTTATTTGTTCCTACACGTATTCTATATACAGTCTCAATTATAACACGAAATATAAACTTTAATAATTCTATATTTTAATTACTAATTATTTCTACTCCAAAATATTTATAATACTACGAGCAAAATGTCACGTGACAGCTGATTGTCGAATTGTGAATTAAACGAGTACGTTTAATGAATACTATCGAGGAATGTATTTGTTTATTTCAGTTAAAGTGTGACGAACGTGTTAATGAAATTAATCAAGTATTTTCCAGTACTCTGAAATAAATGTACGAGTTTATTTACGAAAATTACAGATGTATTTCGAACGGTGAGATATGAGGGCGGATTTTCATAAAATTCAACAACGCCAATAAATTTATAAAAATATTAACGGAATATTGGAAGTCCATTAAAAAATTGGTAAATCGTCAAATAAATTTATATGTGTGGGATAAATGGTTAGATTTATTAAACACATACATATATAATAATATTGTAGATAGGAATGTTAAAATATAACAATATAACTTTATTTTTGTATATTGACAACAACGTATGATATACATTTCATTCATAACATTTTATATAAATCATTTTTATTAGTAAAAACTTGAAAAATATGGTCTTCTGTCTTCTACGCTTATTCTTCTGGTGACTCCAATCATTCCTCTGGCTGTTTTTGCCACTTTTCCTTAGTTTCATAAAGTTTTACAACTTAGAAAAAAGTTTTCAGATTTATTCAAATTTCGAAAAAATACCATTATTTTATATTAATCTTGATGTAGGCACCACAAATATCATTGCGACACAAAATTATGCACGATACCGAAATTACTCGATCTCACAAGAAAATTCACTGTAAAAACTTTTATTAACAATTAATATAACTTTTTCCTGGCTTAATAATAATAAATTACGTACATAAATAATTTTAACGCATTTTTTTACACTGGTTACACACGAAAAATTTTTACTTTTCATAATTCACAAAACTTTTATTTTATTATCACCCAATTTAATTATACTTACGGAATTATTGTCGTGGCCGCATTATAAGCAAATCAGGCTCGTCCAGCATTGTACATTGGCTTTAGGAGATTTACACGCACGCTATGGCTTCCCGAATGCGTGTGAGGCGCGTAAAAAAAAATAAAGTTTTTATCACCAATGGAAAATAATTTTGATGATATAATGATGATGATGACAAAAAAAAATACTCACGCGGCAAGGTCTGCATGCGGCAAAATTGCGATCGTAAGCGCTATCAGAAAACCGGTGCCAAATACGCCACGAGATCGCGTCGTAATCATGTTTACCGCGTCGGCTGCGTCCGTACGGACGCTTGGTGCCGGCGGCCGCTTAACAGGCTGCCGGCGAACTGACGATTAACTCTGTCCCAGCGCCTAAGGCAGCAGAGAGCCGCGCTTGCGCCCCACCACATATCGACCGAAACCCGGCTGCCTCCTTCCGCTGGCAATGACGACGCTCAGATCCTCACTTGGAGCCTTATTGAGCGACAAACACTAAACGCTCTATCTTGACGCAAGGACGCACAGACTTTTCGCCACAGCTCATGTTTTATTAACACCTCGATATTTTCAATTTCGCCTCTCGATTTGCAAATCCCGCTAAGAAGCGTCTGCAGCAATGGCACGTCTTTATAAGTTTCGAACTGTCCCACCGCTGTGAATATGAAGATGCCAATCGAGTTTGTTGATTGATAAAATGAAATTTAAAATTGCATAAAAGCAATAAATTCGATGCAAGAGTAATTTATCCGTATCAATTTTGCGATATTCATTTTCGATAAAATTCACGCGGTGAAAATATTGCTGAATATATTATTGAATGCTGAATAGCAATGCAGTGAATACGTTATTACGCATTTATTGTTTCCAATACGAAGGTCAATATTTAATAGCTTTTTAATAATGTAGGCAATAAATGTAATCCATATCAATTACAGCAATACTCATTATCGTATTAAGCGTTTGTAGGGTTCGTTTTATTTTTACATCATTTTTCATCTATAATAAAAACTAGCGTTTTATTGACGATTTCGTAAAAAAATGTTCAGGTAATCTAACAGCTCGTCGTGTTTGATTGTAAGTATTAGGTCGGAAAACATTCACCCGAAGCGGCGACCGAGCGCTCCTCGGCTCGCCCGTCACCGGCAAATAATTTTATGAAAATATAAACCTCGTCGTCGCGACGCTCTGCATCTATCTCTTATTTTATTTGTACCTCGTATAGTGGCCGTGACTTTCATCTGCCATGTTTATTTATTTACCTACTTCCTAGTCGTCCTGGTTACACCGGTAAATAACGAACTATATTGAAGTTTTAAAATATTGTACGATGCGATGTTTGATTCTACATTCTGACCACGTGGATTCTTCTTTTTCGACACGTTCTTGACAGACGATCATTGTCATTATGTAGTAGGGTAATAGGCTGATATCATCCGCCGTACGGCCGCTCGCCATTTCTCTCTACTGTTGCCATTCTGGTACACTTGTGCAGTGGACCGCCTACCGCTACCTTTTTTTTTTTAGGGTTGATAATGGAATGGTGCACCCGCCTGCGCTAACGGTTTACGCTGGCGGGGCACCAGTGGAGGATGATAAGATGAACATGAGGTCAGGTCAGTTAGCCTATCGTGCAAATTCACCAGGAATTTAACATGATGGTTTCCAGGGGGAACTGCGTGGAGGTCGACCTGACATGGTACATTGCTAGCAATGGGGTTATCAATCCACATTACTAACAATCCCCTTCCCCCCTTCCTACCGCTACCTTGACTTAGTCAGGCCATCGCCTGGGTAGTCTAGTACCGTCAACCGATTACGACCTTTCTTCGGGAGTATATATATACATGGGTTACGTCTCCCGAATATATATATATGGAAGTATTAGTCATGTAGATATACATATTATCTAATGTACATATGTACAAAAGTAATTTTATCGTAACAGTACCAAAAATAATCTACAAACTGACTCTCAATTGATACTCAAGGATTGCAGTAAAAATAAGGAAATTGCGGAACTGTAGCTCTGTGTCAGAGTACAGGAAATGTTACAGTGCGGTTCGTACAAAATGAGAAACAAAAAAAACCCAACTTCTTATAACAAAGGATTCCTATCAGACTTATCCGAGGATCCGAGGCCATACCAAAGGAGAATGGAAAGTCGAGAGACTAACGAACATCCGAATGTAAGAAGCATAGTTCAGAACAGAAAACAACAAGAATATAAAGGACAGTCCCAATGTCTGCGAGTCCGGAGTTCAGTTTAGTTCGACATGAAGAAACATGGTCATACTTGCGAACTCTATAAATGAAGAGCATACTAAAGTTTTGTAGTCTTTCGAGCTTGTTTAAGAGTTCCTTCGGAGCATCTAGACAGGCTATTGGCGTGATTACTCCGGTTAAAGCCCTATAAGTTATTGCTTGGGGAAGTCCGTTCAATCCCCGTTACTGAAGGTAAAAACTTGTTGTTAAAGTTTTTTCAGTTTGAAAACTGTCGAGTAAACTTTTATAGTTTACGTACTAGTCTAGATTAAAACTCTTTTTTACTGTCTTTTTAATTAATTGTGTATGTAGTCGGATTAATTTGATTTATTATACTGTTGTGCTCCAATACAAAAACATACAGAAATTGAAGTTGTAATACAAAGTTTTTGGTGCTGTATACGATTGAACTCGCGACCTTTGCCGTCTAAGTCTGTGTAATTAACCACTAAGCCACGACGCCAACAAATACATGTTTCTTTAATAAATTTGTAACGAATTTTCCAACAAACTTAAGCCGCTTAATTTGTCAAAATATTCCGGTAAATATTTGGTTTTGTAATAAAGTTACCAAAAAGCTTGATAATCTTAATAACGGTTTAATTTGTTACTATTAATTTTGGTTCGAAGTAGATTTGTGCTATTTACTTTTTTATTTATATGTCTAAACTAGTTGTAAATTTTAACGATACGTAATTATCTCCTATCTTCTTAATAAAACTTCGTTATGCAGGTTGTATCGAAATCTATATCTTTGCATACAATAAAGTCGTGATGAGGCGGAAAAGTTTGTTTGTCGGTATGTGTGTTAATTATGTATTATTATTATTACCATCAGGATATACTACTTTCTGTTAAAACAAAATAATTAAATTTTAAGGCCTCAGTGGTCGGTTTAGCACACCGTCTTAACTTCCGATGGTCGCAGATTCTATTCCTCGGACGGTACAAATATTTGTATTATTTGGATTTTTCTATATTTCTACGGAAATGATATGTATTTATATCAGTTGTCTAGTACCCATAATACAAGCTCTAGCTAGCTTAACTTGTGCCTAGATGGCGCTGTGTGTCCTCAGATTATTATTACAATTTGTAGTCGTTCCCACAGACGATTTTCCATTATAAACAAACATAAAATATTAAAATCTTTCATCTTTAATATACAATATTACCTTAAACATCCTTACAGCGAGGAGTCCCGTGTCAAAGCTTCAGTAACAGTTTCTATTAACTAATCTGCGGTAACACTTCATTATAACTGAAACTCTACGAGCTGAACGCAGTGATTAAAAGATGAGAATTTGATAAAGAGATCATTTCACTGAAACTTTACAGAAGATTCTGAGAATACAAACATAGACTAACTACGCATTACAAGTGACTTTTTCAGCGTTATACTAATTAACCGCGTTCACGACATAAATCTTAAAAAACCACCTACTTCCAGTACGCTATAAACATGTACAATTACATTTTGAAATATTTGTTTTCTGCATATATCTGCCTTCCAGTACATGTACAATTACGTTTTCAAATAGTTGATTTCTGCATATGCATATACATATATATATGCAGAAAACTAAAAAAAAATTTTTTTTTTACACTATATAAAAAGTATAATGAACTAGCTAAGTCTTCGCACGGGAGTACATGTATTATATATATAAACCTTCCTCTTGAATCACTCTATCTATTAAAAGAAATAGCTTCAAAATCCGTTGCGTAGTTTTAAAGATTTAAGCATACATATGGATGGACAGACAGCGACAGCGACTTTGTTTTATACCATGTAATAATGATACACTATTTTTCTGACATACTAAATATGTCAGAAAAGTGTTTTAATTTTGTACAAATAGTACGAGTAATAACGTAGTATGTTTTTTTATAATAATAAAGTAAAAATTCCTTTTTATTTCTTGCTTATTACAAAGTTATGTTGTTAGTAACATAGAAATATATATTTAACACTATTTGTTAATTTATAATTATTCAAGTATTTTTATTATTATTATTAATCTATTTGTTACTAACATGTATTTTGTATATATATATTTATTTAGTTAGCAAGAACCCAAGCAAGTTAGTGTGCAAGTATGTTTTTTATATTTGCACAAAATTGAAATACAGTTCCTAGAAGTGATAGTATCGTGACTCTCAAAAGTTGGCGATTAAACTTATAATTCATCACAATATCAATAATAAAGTAAAGTCCTACTTACTTCCAAAGAGACCAATATTAGGTTGGAAATTTCCTTTCCATCGTATTCATTACATCGCAAAGTATTTAATTAGGTGCGTAATTACGTCTTATTTCTGTGAAGTGAATGAAAGTTTTGAAATTTATCTATTATTAACTTACTTCAGCGTGATAGAGAAATTAAATTATTTGAAGTTATCTATACATATAAATAAAATTGGTGTGAATTTTTGTAATATTGATATAACCGTTTTTACTATAAATACAGTATATACACCAAAATAACATTTTTTACAATTTTTGCCTGTCTGTTTATTCCGGCTAATCTCTGAAATGGCTGGATCGATTTTGACGGAACTTTTTTGGCAGATAGCTGATGTAATTTCGGAAACTTTTCTTTTAGAAAAATAAAGTTAAATTCCACGCGGACATAGTCGCGTGTACAGCTTCAGTCTTCAATAAATTTTGCAAAGAGATAAAACATATTTTCAATTGTTACCCTGAATGGCAGAGGCGGTTGTTATGTTGAGTTTCATTGCGATGGCACGACACGTGAACTGAAACGTTTGAACACATTGTCCTGAAGAACTTATAACAAACATTTGTCAACATATTGGGACAAACAAAGTTGTACCTGCCAGATATTCTTGACAAACATTTGTTCTCATTTTCATTTAAACTTTGGAACTGAACACGCTATATGTTACATTCTGTTTGATCAAACTTTGAATATATGTACATTCCAACATCAAATGACCGTGCCACATCGCAACTTTGTATGTATTCTTTTATTTGAAGCTATTGTATGTATTTACGAGTTCATTCCGCTCCAGTACA